TCATGATCTTCACATTTTTGAGACATGAGATTTATTACCATTTTGATTTTATATGTGCAACCTATGACCTGATGCAGTAAGCTTGTACAGATGTGTGCAGTGTCTATGGAACTTGAAATTCTTGGCAGGCACCAGCATCCAAATTTGACCACTTCCTTCTTAAAGGTTATCTCTGCAAGCAATTTTTGCGTTGCATTACATGTTTTGAATGTGTCGTTTATGTTATCAGATACTGGGTCTTCTATAATAATGCATTCTCTAACTTGATTTATTGATTCATTTTCACACATAAACGTGCTCATTATTTTATTCTTTTGAACCAACTTAGGAGCTTTACAAGTCAATTGCTTGCTTAGGCTAATTATCAGGCTTTCACTGATTTGTCATTTTTATATATATTCGTGCTATCCGTAGTAACTATCATAATTGCTTTACAACCTTGCACAATTTTGTGGATTTCTTTGTTTCTATAGGCAGTGGCAGAAATAACCAAGGCATCCAAACACGAGGCTTGTACGCTACCAAACAAAGCAAAGTCGTTTTGGAAGGATGTCAATTTTAACATATTGAATTCAGAGAAGGAAACAGGAAAGATTTCTACTTCAACTTCATATGTTGATAATACCAAGGATATAGACTACATGGAATTGGGTGAGTATCCCACAACTGTTTGGTGTTTGTTAGATATAGCTTTGATACCCCAATGGTGGTTCTTGATATAAATTGTTGTGGCTTCATTCATGAAAATATGATTTTTATTTCCTTCTCCTATCAAGTACTTCCGTTTAGTGATTCCTTTTGAGTCACTATATGAAACAATTGGAACGATGAGAAACTTGGTGGGCTACCTCTGAATCCGTTCTTGATTTTCTTCTATTAGTTCGTGGATGTAGAGAAAATCTCATTTTGTAATTTGTACCATCTGGGTAAAAAGGAAGCTTTATAAATATACATGTATATGCTTATACATTTCATATTTGTCTCACTTTTTTCCTCTTTTTGCGTAAGTGTTTCATCAATCTGATGATTCACATGCTTTGTATTTAGTACCTTTGTTGTTAATTATGAAGTTGTTTCTGAATTTTTTAGTTGACATTGAAAATCGTTTTCTGAACAGAAATAAAAGCTCTTCTGTTTTTAGGAACCATGCTATTAACTCCCTTTCCATCAATGATTGAAATCAGTGAGTTTTTCCCACTGGAAGTAAGACTTGGATATGGTCCAGTCCCTCCTTCAGTTAAAAGAACATATAAGTGAAGATTTGCCCACGTAATCCTAATGACCTGTAACCTGAGCTGCTGTTAAATGAAGAAATATAGAAAGAGGGGGAGACATTGAATTCTTGTTTGGAACCTATTTCATTTATAAACATAATGGACAAACCTACATTTTATTCACACATTTCGTGGGACTAGTACTACCCATTTACACACCAATTTATAATTCAAACCTATTATAATCACTTCCCAAACCATTATGAACCCACTCTGAATAAATTTTTGTTCAGAATGCCAAGTGTCAAGTTGAATGCTTTTTTCATAAAAAAGAAAATGCATGTACTTTTTGTTTAGTCAGAAGGGAGTTTATCTCAAAGAACAGAGCCTAAATCTAAGGGAGTTTATCTCAAAGAACAGAGTATAAATCTAATTTGGTGTTGGGGTTACAAAGAATTGCATCTTTTATAAATGAAGCCCCCGTTTGTTTCTCATTCTTTTCTCATTAAAATGAAAAATATAACCGTTATCTATCATATCAAATTACCAAATTTGAATTTCTATCTCTTGTGTAGGATCCATAACGGCTATATTTTTCATTCTCATTCTTATTCTCATGAAAATGGAAAACAAACGAGGTTGAAAGTGATGGCTCATTTAACATTCTTAATGTTGTTCTGGAAACAGAGACGGGAAGTTGTCCCAGTGGTTCAAATATCCATATGGAAGAATGGGAGTCAATTTTATTCAAATTGACTGATTCCAAAAGATACCGAAGAATAGTTGGATCTATTTCCGGATCATGTTTAAAAGCTGCAACTCCATTAATTGCTTCAGCTGATCAAGCAGCATGTTTGATAGCATTGGATGTGATTGAGGTATACTTCTGTCCAAGTAATCTTTTATGAAGCATGGAGCAATCTATTAGCCTTGATATTTAAGATGTCAACTTCTATCTTACAAATTTCACCAATAATTTTCCTCACACTTTTTGTTCCTGGTGACTCCTTTTAGATTGCCTAATAGAATGTCTAATCTTTAATTTCTTTAATTATTCATGATAATTTTCTCCTGTCTAAACTGTACATAATTTTAATAAAATTCACTTGCTTTTAATGTTTTCATAAAGTTATCATCTGTAAGTGTTACAGTAAATAATTATTATTGTTAAAAGTTAGTAAAAATTACTTGGAGGCGATCCATTTGATGATCAAGCTGTATTGTTTTAGAATCCTTTATTTTGTTCATGAAGTGTTTAGTTTTTTTATTTTCTTGTTCAAATTTGTTTTGCCTGATCTCTTTAGGATGGAATTATCGCACTAGCCAAAGTGGAAGAAGCCTACAAGCACGAGAGTAAAACTAAAGAGGCAATTCAGGAATTCCTTAGCTCATGTTCATTCCATATTCTTCGGGATACCCTAGATGCGGCTGAAGATGAAACAGGAGAGAATAGATTGCTCCCTGCAATGAATAAAATTTGGCCATTCTTCGTTTCTTGTGTCCGAAATAAGAATCCAGTGGTAAGTTATTTTATTCTCTGCTTAATAGCCTGAAATCAGAATTATTAATGCCATTTTCGGTTTCCTAGCTTTTCAGACCTTCTAGCTAAAAGAAGAAAGAAAACTAAATACTATCGGATGATGCAAATGGTCCTAATTTTAACTGCTCGATATTGGATCCTCGTTATTTCAGATGGAAATTCATTAAAGATAAATTTTACAAGGATTATTTGAAATCATTAAGCGCATGTAACAAAAAGTACACCGTCGATATACCGTGGTCTGCTAGTGACAGGATTATCTACTATGACTGCGATGCGAATGTGTAAAGGCCAGAACAGTTTCGCTTTTCTGTTTGATCCATCAGAAATCTCTTTACATGTCTTGGAGTTTCTTACTCATCTTATTTGAAAATTGTCACAGACCATTAGAAGATGTTGTCGTGCAATTAGTACGGTGGTACAAATCTGCGGGGGAGAATTCTTTTCGCGCCGTTTCCATGCTGATGGGATTCACTTCTGGAAACTCCTAAGCACATCACCCTTTCAAAAGAAACCCCTCTCGAGAGAAGAAAGAACCCCTTTGCAACTTCCTTACAGGAGCATCTCCACATCTTCTGAGGATTCAGTTGCTGAAATTTCCAACCTAAAAGTACAGGCAGAATTGCTGAGCATGATTTCAGACTTGGCCCGGAACAAAAGAAGTGCTTCGGCATTGGAAGCCGTCTTCAAAAAAGTGAGTGGTCTCGTAGTCGGGATAGCATGCAGCGGTGTTAAAGGTCTTCTAGATTCTTCTGTTAATGCTCTCGTAGGACTTGCATGCGTTGACCCCGACCTCATATGGCTTCTCATATCCGATGTTTACTACTCGAGAAAGAGAGATTTGCCTTCACCACCTACATCTGAATTTCCAGATATTAGTGAAATTCTGCCTCCACCTTCATCCTCTAAAGAATACCTTTATGTGCTGTATGGAGGTCAAAGTTATGGATTCGACATTGATTTCGCTTCCGTGGAGACTCTGTTCAAGAAATTGCATACACAAGTTTTTACTACGCAGATATACAGTTAAAATTATCTCAAGAAAGATCTTATACATTACATTTTACTTCCTAGTCTGTACCAACGTTTTGTATTTGTAAGTGTTGTGATTTTTATTTATTTATTTTCGCCGGTGATTTTTGTTCGTTCCTACCATTTGAATTACCACGACTTGTATGTTTTATCATATTAATATGGCTAAATAAAGTCAAATTATTGATATTTTTATTTTTAAAATGTCAGATTTTTTTATCAAATATTTTTTTGAAACAAGTTGATACACAATTATAAGTTACAGCTTCAGACAAATAAAAATTGTACATAGCGCGTTGGAATCAAATTTTGCTTGTAATTTCAAGGATAATGTAAGACATACCGAATTTCATTTACAGAATTTTTTACTTACTATTCACAACAGGAGGTGGGGGCGACATGTTGATATTTTAAATTCACGTGAAGCCCACTTGCATTGTGAGATGGAAATATAGCATCCCGTTGTATTTTACTACCCAAGGCTGTGATATATTTCACAATCGAGAAATGTCTACTGGTGCAGGTGCTACAGGGGTACCCCAATTGGTGGAAACTTACAAATGTTATGGTATTGTATGCAGCAAGCAAAAATCTTAAGCCAATTATAAGTAGAACGATCTAGGAAATTGCAACTTAAAGCACGATTTCAAACTTAAAATGACATTTAAATTAATATTTTTTATAATTATTATAATTGATACCCTTATATATTTTTGCTATTGACATTAATGACCATTTATCATAAATGTACAATGATTGTTAATAATTACTAATTATATTATAATAATTCAACTTCATTTAGGAATTTTATTCAAGACGATTTCGAAGGATTTGAAAAGGTTAGGGATATTCAATTTAAATTTTTTTCTAAGACTATCTAAAAGTAGAGGTGTATTCAATAAAAACTTTTATGCTTTTAAAATGTCTTTAAAAGTCATGATATTCAATTAAAACTTTTCTTAAAATTTTTAGAGTATTAACTTTTAAACAAAAAGTACAAAAACAAAATCTTATAATTTATCTTTATTCACTCCGAAATTCTGGAAACTTTCATAAAGGAGAAAAGGACGAATATATAATTTTTGTCATTTCAATATTTCTCTTTTAAGGACATTATAACGTGATTTTGTCCAAATGTTTATTATTGTTCAAAAATGTTTTTATAACATGATATTGTAACGACGTTGTGATATATTTTTTTGGAACTGTTATAGGCCGTTAACACAAATATTTATTATAAATTTTTTGAGTTTAATTCATCAGCTTTCAGTAATAAATTTTGGCATGCTACCATTGAATGCCAAAGCAGTGTCCATTTAGGCTTTATCTGCAAGCATTTGCAGTGGCTGAATTCGCTTCATTCTATGTCGCAAGAAACTGAATGGACCAGAGGCAAGTGTGCACCCACACTGGATGAATATAGGAGAAATGTCGTTTGCCCTAGGGCCAATTGTCCAGCCAACACTTCATTTCACCCCGTTTGATGATTCCCATTCTTATAAGAATGAGAATGAAAAATATAGCTGTTATGAAACCTACACAAAAGAGAGAGTCAAATATGGTAGCTGAAGAAGCTGCATTCGCCAAAATGAAATGTTTGATTGATAATATAAGAGTTGACAGTGTTGTACCAAAAGCTTACAGGAGAGTAATAACACAACAACGTTCTTCCATTCTAAGGGTGGTCCATAATATAAGAAACATAAGAGTTGAAAGCATAGATGGGCAATCCTCGTTTAGGAGTCAAACTGAAAACCAACAAATATCCTATTTTGTGCATGAAACTATGAAAACCTCCAGCAGTTCAAACTTGGCCAAGTTTAATTTGTTTGGTGCACATTATATATCTTATTGATAAACCAATAGAGAACTCCAGAACCATCCATAATCAGCAGCTCTTCCATCAATATTTGGAAGCTTGGTGAAAATTTTAAAATGATTTCTTTTCATAAGAAACCAGTCCGTGAATTCCACCTTCAACCTGTGCTGCTCCAGTTCTTACCTGAAAAGTTGAATGACTGGAGACTTCAATCCAACAAAGCTAACTAGTTACATTGTCATATTTAAAAGTTGAGTCCATTCAATTGGAAAAAGTTATGCAGGATTCCAATTCTTGAGAATATAAATCTTGATAACCAAATATCCCAATATGGCTTTATACTTGGTAAAAACTATAGCTAGCATAGCGAAGAAAGGAAAACCAAAAGCATAAATCAAACCTCAAGTCTTAGCACGCCTGATCTCAAAAGGTCGTGACCAGACTCCAAGGAGGAAGCACCAAGATCCTGGAAACCCTGCTTCACTGCTTGCATCGTGTAAGGAATGAACTTCAATATAGAACCTTTATCAGCAACTGCCCCAACAACCCCTTGAGCAATCTTCAACTTAGCCATATCACCCAAGTACCTAGCATCACTCCCTTTCATCATTGCTTCTAGGGATCCCATACCTCGATATTTTTTGACTCGACGACCACCCTGTCATTGTAAATTGCAGATAATATTAATGGGATTTAATGTAGTCACCGGAGGGAAAATACTACGGAAAAACAAAATCAATAATTAAAGTTGGAAAAAAAAAAATGGAAGTGCAAAATAGAGGAGTGACTAACTTATAAGGTGATAAATCCTACCATAACCACCACGTCCAATTTTAGAGAAAATAAAAAAACGAAATTTTCCCGTACACAAATTGAACAAGCAGATAGCTCAACAAAAGCGACGTGACCTTAAAAGTCGTTACTAATTATAAAAATTCTGAGAACATGGATACTATTAGTGCTCTCAAATTTCTGCTCTTTCATTGCCAGAGTAAATTCTATCACCTTATCAGACAGAATCAATGATCATTCAACTATTTACTGCAATAAATTTGTTAGGCATCTGGTAAAATCTGCATAATTTTAAATCCATATTTCAATTGCATATTTCTTATCTCACTTTATTAACGGATTTAACGTCTCTAGCAAGCGAGTTCTATATCTGCAAAGGGAATTGGGGAGTGATTAACTAATAAAATTCAAATATCAATATAAGAACTCTCATAAAAAAATAATAATAGCAACAATAATATCATAAACACAGTGACAGCTACCTTAAACTCGAGACAAATTGACCAATATTCAGAACAGGAAAGAGATGGTGTGTCGAAAACAATCACGAACTAAGAGACGGAGGAAAGTTAAATTTTTTCCATACGAAACAAGTAATGCAACAAGCACCTGATTTATGTAAGTGCCAGGAGCTTCACTGCTTCCAGCTAAGAAGCTTCCCATCATCACAGTTGACGCCCCTAAGACCAAAGCCTTGACAATGTGACCAGAATTTGAAATGCCACCATCAGCAATAACAGGCACACCACTCTGTGAAGCAACTGATGCAACCTTGTAAACAGCCGTTGCCTGAAATTTTTACAAGAGAACATAACAACATGGAGCATGTAGGTAGAATCCTTCTGAAACAAAATGGAGGAGAATTCAAGTTAAACTGCCAACATTTCAAATAATTTCAAATTACTATCAAACTACTCAATAAACCATTCAAAACCCAGGTCAAAGAAATCTAAACAGCACACAGTAGACGTATATTAATTAATGAGCACCAAAGTAAAATTAAATTTCTCTATAACAAAAAATAATCTTGGGATGAGAAACCACTATGAACATATTGATATGGTTACAAGCAAAAAGAGAGACAGAGTCATGCAAATTTTTTATGAAATCTACCATCAAATCTCAAAACTCTAACAAACATTTTAAACTAGCGATGGGCATTTTATCATTCAACATCTTAAACCAGGTGTTATTTGAATCATATCATCTTTAAACATGGACTCAAAACATAAAACAGCATATATTTTCTTTTTTTCAGAGAGAGGAGGCAAATTCATAATACAAAACGCCTTTCTGCTCTATCCAACATATGCATCCTAAAATACAGAATTGATTCCAATATACTGCCCTATTCCAACATATGCGCTCTAAAGTCATCTCCAGCCCTGCACCAAAATTTGCATCATTTGCACCAAATTTGCACAAAACTAAAAATCATCCCCAACCATTACACCAAATCAACAATGTTTAATCATTTTCTACTTCTTCTTTTTTTAATTCTAAATAATTACAAATACATAAATTATTAAATAAATAATTATGTTAAATTAACGAAAATATTAAATTCATTAATAAATATAAAAAAACATAGTACAACTAGTAGAAACACTGCAAAAATGAAAATATTAAATTATGCCATTAAAAAATAGTGCAATGCATTTCGAATTTGGATATTATGATATTACAAAGTCGAAATATCATTGCAATTTAATTCTCGAAATTTGTATATTCTTCCCATGAATGATCGATTAATGCATTTATTATTATTATTATTATTATTATTATTATTATTATTATTATTATTATTATTATTATTATTATAAAAAAGATAATGAAAATTATTGTATTAAAAAATATATAACACAAATGACTCAAATACCCTCCTTCAGTTACTTTGAAAGGGCAAATATGACTTTGCACCAAAATGGTGCAAAATTTGGTGGCACAGCTTTTGCACCAAATTTTGGTGAAATTTGGTGTTTTGGTGCATCCAATTTACACAATTGATGGCAGCAATATAAACAAAATAATTGATCAAAATAATACCTGTCCACGCCCAACAGCGCATACTTCCTGAGTGGTACAAATGGATCCTGATCCCATTCCAACTCTCAACCCATCAACACCAGCTTGAATTAAGTTTTGCGCCTGGTACGTTGTCACCACATTCCCACCGATCAAATCCAAATCCGGGTACAGATTCTTAGCATACTTTATCATGTCAATCTGATAACTTGAATTTCCTTGAGAACTATCCAGGACCACTACATTCACCCCTGCCTTTACCAAATGCTCCAGCCTTTCCTTGTCGGATTCCCTTGTCCCAATAGATGCCCCCACCAAAAACTCACCATCCAAGTCCAGTGATGGTAGCCCCAACTTCGGAAAACCTTTTATCCTCTCGCAGTCATCACTTGTTACTAGATTCACTATTTCTTCTCCTTCATCATTTTTATCACTCACTAATGGTACAAATTCAAGCTCATTTTTTGCTAAATAGCCTGCAATATCCTCAAATTTATAATTAGCAGGCAATGAAACCGATGACTTTGTCATATACTCGGAAATCCTAGCTTCCTTGTCAGTTAACTTTTCCCAATCGGATATTTTAACTATCCCCAACAGTTTCGATTTCTGATTTCCGGATTCGGTTACAAAAATGCAAGGAGAAGAGGAAAACTCATCAGCGGATAGAATCAAATCAGAGGGCGATTTGAAGATGAGATCATGCCTGAAGGGAATTTGATGTGATTTCGCTAAACGAACTAATGAGGCCTGGTGAGAAGGCGTGGAGTTGGAATGGACAATGCCGATTGCACCAAGGGAGGCCATGGCAGCAGCCATGGATGACTCAGTCACGGTGTCCATAGGGGAGGCGACGCAGGGAGTGGCAAGGGCGACTCTACGGCTCAGCTTGGTGGAGAGAGAGACGGCGTCTGTTGGAAAATCGATGTAGTGTGGAAGGAAGATAACATCATCATATGTGTATGAGTATCCCTGGTTGAAAAGCCTTGTCGCTGGAAATCCATCTTCCATTGTCAGAGTTCCGTCCATGGTTGTCGCAGCAGCCAAAAAAATTTAGGGTTTTAGATGCTGACGGTGAGTAAAATAATGAAGGTTTTCATTGCATCCTCACCTTGCATTTTTTCACATGTTCACGGCTATTTATAATTTTCAAAATTAATCATTTTTACCTAATTTCTTAATAAAAATTATAAAATGACGAACTTACCTAAGTGAAATGTTTGAAAAATCACTGAATTTATGCATTCGTCACGAGCTACTCATCGAACTATAAAATATTTTAAAATGCTCACTGAACTTGTTACGTTTGCACTCCACCCTCAGTCCCCAAAATCTGGCGATCTGTCATCGAAGTCCAGCCACTCGCATCGCCAATATGAACTTCACTTTCCAGATGTCTCATGAACGATGCCAAGCTAAAGTGGTCTCTTTTTGAACTACATCATATGTGATGGGATATATGCAATCATTTGCATCATGTCCAACAACAGTCAACAGTATTCCACTAAAAATCCACGCAAATGGTAGCCAGCCACTTCGATAACCTTTCTACAACCATTGACAAAACCCTTCTTGCATGCTTCAAAATAGACATGGATGCCCTGAAAAACTTGATTATGTTTGGCAATGATGACGGTTGAACCTAGGTTAGTCCTTAAAACGTCCGCAGCATAACACCACAATTTACCAAATTGCTCGTTGATTGTTCCGTGCAACAATTCCTTTGCATACCGTCTCATTTTCCATGCCACGTTACGAGTAATGTCAGTCTTCAAATCGACCTTCACTGTTGCAAGTATACTCTTCGTCTTCCATTTTGGGTATGCCTTAAACTGCTCAATATATCGGTTAGTTAGGAAGACATAGTTGCAATGTCTCGGTTGCATGTGTGATTCGGAGTATACAACTTCACTTGGAAACTTCCTGTTAGTCCCACGCTCAATGCCCATAGCCTCCATCTACAACCTGGTCTGCAAATTCCCTGTACTCATCTCTCGTTGTTGGCCTTAAATCTGACATTATACCCATTTAAAGCTCCATAAGTTTTTATGGCCTTTCGAAACTCTACAACATCTCTAAAGAGCTTACCAACGATGAATTGTGGATTACTCATGTCAGCTTCCGCCCAAAACTGTGGAAATCAATACCCAACTTCATCATCAGACGAACAATCAGACACAAGCTCTTCTAAAGAATGGCACTCCAAATCAGCAATCTCGACATCGACCAGAATAGCATGCTCATTTACATCCTTTGGTTCACCCATATTCGAACCAACCTCAATCGCATCCGTCACATTATTTTTATACAAATTATCATCCCCTTCGGAGTCCAACTCGTTCCTTGAATCAGTGAAGTTTGGGTCCTCGCTCGACGAATATTCAGCCCCATCTCTAGCATTTCCATCACTCCATAAATCATCGAATTCTGGGACTGCAACGTAATCTACATTAAAAAAGTGATGAAGTCAGGCAACAAGGTGGAAAACTTGCAACACAAACCATGAATAAAGTTCAAGAATCAGGCATCCATGCGGTCAAAAAAGAAGAAATATTAATATACTCATGGCTTACATTTATAAAGCAGACAACCTCACATAAATCCAACACAAAAAATTATACATTTACGATCGATATCACGTGTGAAAACAGCAAAAAAATACAAAAAAGTGATGAAGTCAGGCAACAAGGTGGAAAACTTGCAACACAAACCATGAATAAAGTTCAAGAATCAGGCATCCATGCGGTTAAAAAAGAAGAAATATTAATATACTCATGGCTTACATTTATAAAGCAGACAACCTCACATAAATCCAACACAAAAAATTATACATTTACGATCGATATCACGTGTGAAAACAGCAAAAAAATACAAAAAATTTGTTTTAAGTTACCTTTATGAGGTCCCTCCATGTGTGAATGTGTAGATTTTGAACAGATGGGGTCGATTGTGGGACAGATTTTCAAGATTTGGGTAGAGTTCTTGGAGAAATAGGCAAAATAATTGATTTAGGGAAAATGGGTTAAAAGTGTAATGGAAATGAGAGATTGTCGTGATTTGGGAGAAATGGGTTAAAAGTGTGATTGATTTTGTTTTTTATGTTTCTCTCACCCTTTTTTTTTTGTTGTTGCTAAAAACGTGAATCTGAAAGTTGAGATAAACAATCTCCATGAGAAACGTGGTTTCATAAAATCTCATTTTCCTTTTTTTTTTATTAAGGTTTAAAATAATTTTTAATTGTGACTAGGATTAACCGGTGACGTGGCATGCCGTTAGTCGCCATGCGAGATTGTCGTCCACCACGTAAGCGAAAAAATTAACAGATTTTGGAGAGTGAAGGATGGAGTGCAAATGGGACAAGTTTATTGAGCATTTTAAAACATTTTATAGTTCGGTGAGTAGTTCGTGACGAATGCATAAGTTCAGTGATTTTTCAAACATTTCACTCAACTTACCTTCATATTTCAATAAAACAAAAAGAAAAGAAAAAAAAATAAAGAACTCATTGCAATCATAGTTCCAAATTTTTCAAAAATTGCAAATGAATCACAATTACATAATTAAAAATAAAAACTTAAAAACACAAAAACCATTCCATCTTCTCCCTCACCCATTTCCACCCCACTTTCAGACCAAATCGAAACCAAAACCACATCTTCATCTGAACTATACAATGAATCAATAATTCCCAATCAGAATGCAGTGGCATTGCCTTGTGAGAAATCGATCTTTTTCTTTTCCTTAGCAACATCAATTTTTCTCAATGGATTGTGCTTGGTGTACATAAAATATGTATCCCTATTCACCCAAATTATATACAACATGACTTATCCTTCCTCAACAACCTCACTTCTTTCGAATTTTGATAAAGTGATTCCCTAGGCTAGAGAAGACTTAATTTCTCTACACGATGCATAGCTAATCTAAATTAGGTCTTCATCGAGGCTTAAATATGATTTCCAGCTTCGAGTTTCCCGTTTGATTTTCTATTTCCAACTTTTGTAATATGTTGAAGAGTTGGCAGAACAGTTGTAGGATTTCCATCTACAACAAAATACTTGTCAAAAAGTCACTCTAAATATGATGTACATGTAGCATGATTGAATTATTAAATTCTGAAGCAAATTACTTATTCCGTTCGGTAGTGATATGATAATTGATTTTTTGATCGTTAGGGAGAAAAGTGGGGGATCACCTATGAGTAAAAAAGTCAAAAAATAACGGCTGAAAAAAAGAAGTAACGATAAAAAAATCAATATTTTGAGATGAACAAGCACTGCCAAACGGGGCTAAATACCCAACCGAACCATGGTGTGGAAAAATGTGATTGTCAATGGTGGCCCACCAATGATTTTTGATTTTGATCTGATCTGAAAGTGGGGTGAAATGGGTCGTGGGATGTGGGATGGTGGAGAAGATGGAAGATTTTTGTGTTTTAAGTTTTGATTTTAAATTATGCATTTGTGACTTATTTATACTTTTTTGAAAATTTGAGCTCATGATTACAATTATTTTATTTAAATTGGATGTTATACTCATCGTTTCATAACTTTTTATTGAGAAAATTGATGAAATTAATGATTTCTGCAATGAAAAGTATAAATAGGAGTGAAAATGTCAAAAAATAAAAATGAGAGAAATGTAAGAACGTTTTGCACAATGAACTTTAAATGTAGAGATGTTTTGTGCTAATAACCCAATATTGAACATGGCGAACAGCACTAGAGGAGGGAAAGAATAATTTATAGTGTTAGAGATTATTTAAAATTTATTTAATCCTTGTTTGGTGAGGATTATAATTAAATTTTTAATAAATATTAATAAAATTTGATAAAATATATAGTTAAAAAGTTATGAATCAGAGAAATGTGTAGTTAAAATGAAATGTTGACTTTAGTATCTCTGATTTTAATTTTCACCAATTATTAGTTTATTTACGAAATTCATATTAAATTATAATATTTAATAAAATGATTTTATAGGTAAAATAATAATATTTTTTTAGTTTTTAATTATACATTCTTAAAAATATTTTTCTAAAATAATTTAGATCAAACATGCTCTAAAACTAAACAACTATTTGTGCGGGTCGATGTTGTTGTTCAGACCTTCGTATTATGGATCATTATAAATCTACGTTGGCTTAAATTTCAATTATTTAAAATACGAGGGCCTAAAATTGATATACAGTAATTAAATACGAGGTACCAATTTGTACAAGATCAATCTTCTAAGTATCGGGTGCTTTGCATAGGAGATCAATTCGTCGATTTGTATTCTTTTGACAATGTATTATTTTAAATATTAATAAATTTATTAAGAATTATTGTAGCATATAATTAATCCATTTAAAAATTGAGACCACAAAATGTTTTGTTAAATAGTTCTATTATTTACATAAAATCTCTTTTTATTTATAAATTTGAGTTCAAATAGAATTCTTTCACTCTTTCAATATAGTTCAAATTAGATGCGATAAAATTTGAGTTCAAATCAAAATCTATCACAATAAGAGTTTAGTCGACACTCAATTTATTATCAAAAGATATGATCAAAAACCAAGATGTCAAATAAAATAATCTCAAATTTCCTCATTCGAATATATTTTTATGTGTAATTATTTATGAACTCGACGATGGAGGATCACTGAGAAATTTCCCTCTCTCTTTTCTGTAGGTAGCTTTAGTGTGTACACCAAAAGTGTCATACAAGATTATTGATAGTTGACGAATTTTGACTACAATTACACAATATTAATAAGTGAAATTATTTTGATGTTACTACTTTTAATAACTAAACCATGAGAATTAGGAATGAAGAGTTTTTTCCTTCTTTTAATCCAACTCTATGATACTAACATTGATTTTAAAATTACCATTTAAAAACTATTTAACATGACTGATGTTAATTATGTTGACCTTCAAAAATGACCAACGGGTGTTGTTGAAGGACAATGTGCACGTGGGCGTGCTTCGTAATGTGTTAACTATAAAATAGATATTGTCGTGGGAGAAGATTAATAATAGGCATGGAATTATTGTATTCCCCTCTTTGTATTATTTTTTCAGGTCTTTCAATTGATACAAGTATTACTTATTTATAGTGATTAGGCCGACGTAGTCACTATTA